ATAGCTTCCACTGGATTGGCCCCTCCAGTGACCCCATCATGATGGCACCTGGGACCAGGTTAGAGCCCCCAGACACCTTCCAAGAAGCTGGCCTTGCCCTTGCATGGAACGCCTGTACGACCTGGGAGGCACAACCTCTCAGCAAGCCTCCCTTTTCCTACCCTGGTGGCCCTAGAGCCAGGAACCTCATTCACACTTGCTCAAAGCCACGCTCTGCTTAAGGCCCCCCCAAGGGATGCCCACTGGCCCCTAGGTGACTACATGGAGTGCCTGGCACAGCTGCCCCTGCTCACCCTAGACTCTCGTACTGCCCTGATGCAATCTGCCCCTCATGGGCTGCTGTCCACACTGATGCCACCAACCTCTTCCCATATTCTGAAACCCTCATCCTGGGCACACCCAAAAGTCCGTCTGCTTTCCCAGCTGGCCCATCATAGCTCCTTGGAAAGGCTTAGGGGCTTCCACCCTATAAGGTGCTCTGGACACCAGGGAGGGGCCTGTTAAGAGGTCAAACTCAACACCACACGCAAGCACAGGCAGCCCACCACCTCTACCCTTGTGACAGGGAGGCAGCAGACAACCAATGCCACACACCCACTACATGGCTCTGACCATCCCTGAACAGAGTGGTGAAGAACATGGTTTACAGGAAGACTCATGCTTCCACCCTGGGCACAACCGCACGCACCACAAGCTCCAGGGAGGCAGTCCTGAACCAGTGGCAGAGACCTCCCGACTGAGCACGGGCTGACAGCTCACTCTTGGGGCCTGTTGTGTCCATGAAGCCAGTTTTTTTCCCTGGACTGGAAACAGAACCACTCTTAGGTGAGGTTCCACAAAGAACAAAATACAGTCACCCTGATCTACAAAATAGTTGCCTTCCTGGAAAATTCAGAACATCTATTAAAGTTATGCAAAAAAGTCATCTCTGTATGTAAACCTGAATCAGATTTAAGAAATATGAACATTTTCCACCACACTGAAAGTCACTGAGTGCAATGTTGTCACTCCCACAAATTCCCCAAGTGCCTTTCGGGGGGGGGGCTAGCTGGCACAACCAAAAGGCTTCCGACCCTCATGTGCTCGGTTCCTGCAGGCCTCCCCAACTACAAGGGTTCCTCCCACCCCATGCTGGACACACAGCCCACTGCCTGAGAGAAGCCCCAGTTTCTCCCACAAAGGTTTCATGCCCACACTCAGTGCCTGCCCCTTCCCATGTCCACCTGGCCTCACCTTCCTCCCTCCTGCTCCAACATTCCTCTGCTGGGCACCCAAGGGATTCACCATCGGGAGAGCAGAAAAGAACACTTTACAGGGCCCTCAGGGATTAAAAGAGTAAAAAGACAATCATACACATCTACAGATATGCTCTTTCTAAACATGAGTCTGTCCAGGAAACCTGTCAAGTTCATGCCAGCTGAAGTTACACCTAAGTGTGCAGCCCAGGCTTTCCCAGCCTTCCAGAGGAAGCCATGGCTATAGAGAGGTGCTGACTGGTCAGGGCAGGAGACAACATGCAATACCTCTGGTACAGCACCTGCCACCGGTGACTAAGAGTACATTTCACTGATTCCCAGCAGCTGGCAAGATCTTCTTCCCCTTTGACAGAAGAGAAATGCTAAAAGCTGTAATTGTTTCAAACAGTTTCAAAGATTCAATCAGTTAGTTAGGGTCGGCACACTCCCCCACAGGCAACAGGCAGCTTCAGGACATCCTTTGCTCTGAATTCTGGGATAACAACACTCAGTGGTACATCTAACTTTTGCCTTCATGCCTACTCTCCATGAATCTAGACAGGACCCTAAAATTGTTTCTTGGTCATCTGTACCTAATTTAACTGTAAGATGCTCAAAAACTCCACATTAATAATTAGTTCCCATCACAGACTGCTCACAGGGCCGGATGTAGCTTGGCCTTCTGTTAATGCTGCACCCGGACAGCCACCCTTGTGCCTCCCAGGTGTGTGAAAATGCTTGCCTCCTACAGGGAACTGCTCCCAAGTGCTGGGTAAAATCTGCTCCTTTCCTACTTTTCCAACTCTTCCTTCCTTTAGAGGGGGCTGATGAGGAACCCATGCATCCCTCTCTACCTGCCCATGACAGCCTGCCAAGCTCTTGCAGCCATTGTGCAAGGAAACCAGGAACTGCAAGGGAGACAGTGGAAGTGGGCAGACAGGCCTTGGGGTGAGGGCCCTAGCTCTCCTAGCATAAGGACCTTCTATGTCTGTCCTCTCCTGCACTGTTCAGCTAATCAGCCGAGGATACATCTGAGAATGCCCAGCCCTGTCAGGCACAGGGAAGTGGCCACAGCAGCACCTGCATACCTGCATTCATCACACCTTAAGGGGCTAGAATGCAGGTGTGACCTGGGACACCATTCACACTGTATTCACACCCCCTTCACACACACACACACACACACACACTCTCTCTCTCTCTCTCCCCCCCCATACCCCCCACGCTGTGGATTCACCTCCCCCCATACACAAGCTCTGGAATCACCCCCTCCCCCACCCCACACGCACACAAACATACAAGCTCTGGAATCACTTCCCTCGCATACACACACTTTGATTCATCCTCCACACACTCCCTGGAATCACACTCTCTCTAACCCTCACAGTGTCACATGCACATCCTGGCCCACCTGTCCTCCAGAAGGCGGCTTACTCTCCCCCCAAAACAGGTCAAGATGTTCCTTCACACACACACACACACACACACTCACTCTCACTCTCTCTCTCTCTCACCCTCACAGTGTCACATACACATCCTGGCCCATCTGTCCTCCCCCCAAAACAGGTCAAGATGTTCCAATCAACCACTTCCCAAGGTGTGCGCGGTGCCCACTGCCTGGGACGTGAGCAGGAGGCAGTGCAGTGTGGACCTTCTCACCTGATTTTAAGATCCTCACCGTAAGTAGTGTTCCTGTGTGTCCCTACCACCTGGGCCAGCTTTGCCTCCATCCCCTTTTCTTTCCCTAATTCCAGGAAGGTTCAAAGGACAGAGAAGACAATATCTAGGGGGCAAGGTGCAGAGCTGTCAGAAGCAGTTGGGCAGGCCAGGCATATCCATAGGCGCATGAAGGCTGCAGGAGCACTGTGGCCTGACTGGTGGGTGATCAAGAGCTGTCAGGGCAGCATTCCACCTGCAGAGCCTGCACAGAGCAGATCCAGCAGAATGAAGCTTAGCCCACCATTTGTGTATTTCTTGAGGGCTCTTTCCCTTGGCTGTGCTTACTGCCTGAGACACTTGCCTCTGGAGATCACATCAGTGGCCCAGCTGAAGAAGACAAGGTAGGTCCAGCTGATCTGGTGTTTGGATGCAGCCTAAGGTCTCTCCCTGTGGGAGACAGGCAATGCCAACCCAGACCACACCACTAAACACCAGAACCGTGAAGCATAGAACCAGTGTTTGCTTTCTGCTAACAATGATGAGCACACAGCCTGTGAGTCAATTATCCAAACCAACTACTTTTAAGACTAAGTCAATTCTGAATACCCATGTCTGAAGATGACCCTAGTGGGAAATAGATTTCTAATGCCTAACTTGTGTTATTTTCAACAGGACATTCCTGAAGACAGTGACACCTGTATGTTCTGCCCAACCAAGAGAACCTTCATGGGAAGAAGGCTTGCTCTGCAAAAGGTCTAGATTCGTGATTAGCACGCACACACTCAACTTCTCCTAACTTTGACCTGGCTAGTAACACACTGCATTTCCAGTTCTTATAGTTTTGGCTACTCAATGCGTTCCTCAATCTCTCGAAATGAGCACCCCACACATGCAGTCCCTACGCGTTACATATTGGTAACTGGCACTCGAGAGAGCCCCAGTGCATCCCATATCTCACAGTCCCCCCCCTACAGAGCCCCAGTGCACCCCACATCTCACAGGCCTACACACACACACAAACACGCAGTACAGTGCTGACCACTGGTTCTGAAAAACAAGAACTGGAACTGACCATTTCAATGCTTCCAGCGGCACCAACTACACAGCTCTCCACAATCACTTCGGGACCACCACAAAGGGCTTGAATCTTGAATTCCCACCTCCTCCAGCCAAGTCTGCTCTTTTATAACAGAAATTTGGTGTCCTGAGAAAATGAGAGTGCCCCCTAACTCGGAGGTAATGTCAGAACTGACCCCCTAATACCTTAAATATTTTGTACGAATCGGCAAGCCTAATTAGCAAAGCTACGATTTCACCCACAGTAACCCACTAGATTGTGCAACAAAACCTTGGGGCACTCTGCGAGAGCGGCCACGCAAGTCGTTCCACAGGTAGGTTAAAGATACACCACTTCAGAAGGAAGAGCGTTCCCGGGGAAAGTAATCCGGGGTCACAACAGGCTTTAAGGAAGGGTCCGGCCCAATGCTCCCGCTTGGGGCCCCGGCCCCGGAACCCGGGCCCCGCCCTGCCCTGCCCAGTGCGAACAGGAACTGAGCTCAAACCCTGGCCATCGCGTGACCTTGCGGCGTCCCAGGCCGCGGGCCTCAGTTTCCTGGTCTCGAGACCCCGAGGCGGGAGGCCTCGCAAGCGGAGCAGGAAGGTGGCCTTCCGGAGCAGCCCGCGGCCGGACTTCCGGACTCCTGCCCCAGGCTCTCAGGCTGTGCCGATGGCCGGCGGCTCGACATCCCGCCACCCCCGGCGCGGCCCCCGCCTCGAACTCCGCCCCGGCCTGACTCCGACCTCTACCCGGGCCCCGACCCCCGCCTCGGTATCGGACCCCGCCTAGACCTGCATCCCAACCCTCCGCGCCCACCCCGCCTCGGTCTCCATCCCGGATTCGGCCCCCGCCCTGCCTGGCCTCGATCCCCAGCCAAGCCTCGACCCCCCGGTCCGGTCTCACCTCAGCCCCGACCCGGCCCGGCCCCACCTCGGCCCTCACTGCCCCGCCGCCGCGGGGACAGAGCCTCGTGCAGCCCCGGCTCTGGCACCCGCCCCCTACCCAGCCCCGGGCCCGGTCCCCTCTCCGGCTCCGGGCCGCCGCCTTACCCTCGGCGGCCGCGGCGAGGCTGCTGCTCCCAGCCAGGCGTTGGTTTCGCTCCCACAAGATGGCGGCTCTGACGGCGGCCACGTCAGAACCTGCTACCGCGGAGGACGCTGGGGAACAGGGCGGGGTCTCGCTCTGTCCCGCCGCGAGGCGCACGCGCAGTCTCGGGGATGGGGTTGGGCCGTGGGCGGGGGCACAAGGATAGGGATTCCGCCCCGCCGCCTGCCGCGCCCGCTCCGTCGTTGCAGGCGCGCGCCCCGCCTTGGCCGGGCGAGGCTCTTCTGCGCTTGCGCCGCGAGGCTCTTAGAGGGCGTGGCGCGGAACCAGCCTGCCCATCTCGTGGATGCGGAGACTGAGGACCCGCGCTGGGGCCGCCGTCCCACCTGGCCCGGCGGTGGCTCTCCCCAGGCCCCGGCCTCGGCGGCAAACCCCGCGAACCCATGCGCGCCCAAGGAACCGCCCCGGGGAGCAGAGAACAAAACCGGGGCGCGGTCAGCGCTGCCTCCTTCTGGCCTCCCCGCTGGCCTCGGGCGCCGCTCCTCTCTACTACCTGGGCTTGCCCGCTATCCTTGTGCTGCTGCGGCTATCCCCCAGACAAGGGGGTGGTGAGCCTCACGCCCTGGGCCCTGCCCGGGCCTACCTGGCAGAGAAGGGCCTGGGGCTTCCTTCCCCGTCTAACCGCTCGCTCCTCTTGGTCAGGGCCCCCTCGTTGGGCTCTCGTGGCAGGGACACTGTTGACCTGTTATGAGAGGCTGAGCATCTGCCGGTACTGCCCCTGAGCCCTAGCTAACCCCCAGACCTCGCTATTTACGGAGGAGCCAGCCTGGGGTCCCCATCTGTGCCACCGCCCCCAACACATCCCTCCTCCACCTGGGGTTCCCAGCTCCACTCGGCCTCCATCCACTGCTGGAGGTTGTCTGTTTTGGGGCCTCCTGCCCTAGACACTCTAGAATTGCCCTTGCAGAGTGCCCTCAGGGGCCTGTATTTCCCGGGAGAGGCACAGAACCTGATGGTGCTGTCCCCCAGGAAGCCAACCCATGGCTGGACTTCTGCAAGTGGTCCTTGTGTCCTCAGAAGCTGCCTTTGAAACTTAAGAAGTTGTAACTGTACAGACTAGAAGGAGCGTTGGAAAGATACACACAATTTAAAAAAGAATAAGGTGGATTCCTGTGGGCCTGCCCCCACGTTAAGGGCATTTACCCTCCTCCTGATTCGTCCTCCTAGTTTGCACCCTTCCCCCACCCCCAGCCCTTGGGAACAGGACCGCCTCACAAGTATACCTGTCTTCAGTCCAGGCAGGTGTGGGGGCCCTTGGTGGGCAGGTCAGGGCATCACTGCCCCACAAGGAACATGGAGGTATCAGGGGGTTACCTGGGGAAACCAAGGCCTAGGTGTTTACCTGAGGCTACCTGAAGCATCTCTGCCCCTCTTCCCCAGATCCTGGGGATGGGACACCTGGGGACACACCCAGCAGGGCTCCAGCCCAGCTTCTACCAGCAGAGGGTGGGGTGAGCTGGCTAGAGGGCCCTTCAGCATCTGCAGCACCTCCAGGGTCAGTCTGAGGCCTCTGACCCAGTTTCTCACCTCCAGCCTGACCATGGGCAGGGGCCTGGCTGGACCGTGGGGTGTAGTTTCCCTGCTCCAGGAATCCCTAGGCCAAGATGCACATGAGACACAGGGACACTGCCCCAGCGTAATGTGACCAAGGGAGCAAAGGGGCAGAGACAGGAGGGAGAGGACAAGAGATGTGCCCACTTCCCCGAGCAAGGCAGATACCTCATGCAGTTACTGTGTGCGGCACTTGTGAGGTTGGCAGCGTTCCAGCCAGACCAGGGGTGCTCAGAGAGGTTGCAAGCCTGCCTGAGGTCACACAGATAGGGCGGAGGCCCTGAAACCTGCCCCCCATGTACCTGTTGTTAGCACCTTTGTTCCTCCCCTGACCCTAGAGCTTCAGTGCCAGCTGCAGGGAGCTTTACCTGGTTAAAGGCTTTCCTGGACAGTGGGGGGTAGGGGGTGCCCTCTGGCTCCTCATGGATGCTGCCCTGCCTGCTCCTGGCCCCGCTGGGTTGGCCTCTGTGGACCCCCTGATCCAGACAGGGAGGCACCCGCCTTACCTCTGCTCCACCCCAATCCCTTCTCCAGGCCCACATGCAAAGCCCACCCTCCTCCATGTCTCTTATGTGGGAATTATTACGGGTGAGCTGGTGTCCCAGGAGGCGCCCTGCACAGCCTACACAGCCACACCCAGTTCCTGGCTCCATGGTGGGGCTCTCACCCATGCCTGGGCTGGGGTCTGGGGACAGCCTGGCCTTGACCCTTGTCACTGCAATCCTGCAGGGTGGCTGGCAGGGGACCAAGAGACAGTCTGAGGAGCCCTGCCCATGCGCACATGTGGGAGACCTGCCTCACCTTGGGGCCCTTTGGGCATCACCCATTTCCTCCAGTCTGCTCCTGCTTCATTTTCCCCATCTCATGCCAGCCTTCCCTTCCCTGCACCCCAGTAGGGCCCCCTCATCCTGGCCCAGCTCATGGGGCACCTTCCCATTCCTGGGACAGGCTGGGACTCTTCTTGGCTCCAGCTTGGGGGGCCTCTGTGAACTTGGCTCCCCAGCACTGTATCCCTTAAAGGCAAGGATATTTCCCATCTAGGTCTCAGACTCTCCCCACACCTGGGCAGACAGCAGATGAAGTGGGCATGGGGTACCCTGCTCAGCACATCTCTGCTTTTTGGCCCCCTGACAGCCTAGCGTTTCCTATGTTGAATGCAGGCTGCATTCCCAATCAGTAGCACACATGGGGCCTCTGATTTCGTCCACAACTGAAATCTTGAGCATTTCTGTGTTGTGTCCTAGCTGTTGTAGGAGCCGTGAAATATGGTTTCTGCTCCTCGCTCACCTGAAATCATGGAGGGTATCAGCCTGCAGCAGGCCTTATCACCTGCCGTGCTGAGCACCAAGGCCGTCATGTCTGGCATACTGCATCCTAAGCTCCCTCTGCACAATGCCTCGCCTCTGGGCCCCCTGGCTTTGTTGGGGTACAAGGGGAACACAGTCAGCAGAACACACTGGAGGTGTGGGGTTTGGGAAGTTCTGACCACAGTACATCTCATGGATGTAGAGGGGATCCATCAACCCTGAAGTCACATGCCCCAAAAGTCTTAAAGCTTTTGATGGTTGGACCTGTTTCATTTGGGGGTGGTACACCACTTATTTAAGGCAGCAGTAAGGCCTCATTCTGGATAGGGACCTGTGGGCTTCACCAACCTGTTAGGAGGGCCTGGCCACCCTGCTGTGGATCCCAGCAGTGTCCCTGACACCTGCCAAGCCTCGGACACTTCTTTCCACCTATGCCTGGCTAAGCCTCCACCCTCCACATCCCCAACTCCACCCCTTCCCCATATAGATGTAATCAGCAGACCTATTAGGGTTCTCTGGAGACGTGGGCCAAGAGGAGATGCAGAGATGTATACAGGGCAAGAATTGTTAGAACCAGCTCAGGAGGCTGAGAGCCCCATGGCCCATCATCTGCAATCTAGTCACCAGAGAAAGCCTGGAACTTGACTCCGTCCAAGTCCAAACACTCCAGAACCAGAAGCACCCATGTCTGAGAGCAGGAGAACTACTTAGTTAAAATATTCAGCACCTCAGTCCAGGAAGAGAGTGGGTTCCCCCTTCCTAGGCCCTTTTGTCCTATTCAGGTCCCAGTGGATTGGACAAGGCCCACCCGACCACTGGCCCCTCCAGCCATGAGACAGAGGGGTATTCCTCCCACCTGGGAGCATGGGGTACCCCCAGCCTCTGGCCCAGCCCATGGAGAGTGGTCTTTGGCCTTGTCACCTCCCTCCATCCCAGGCCTCTGGGTGTTACCTGTTTGGTACCCCAAGCCCCATTTCTCCCAAAAGCCCCTGGAGAGACCAGTCCTTGCTCCCCTTCTGGAGACAGCCAGTCTGTCCTGGAGTCCTAGGACCTACTCATCTACTCCACCCCACAGAAAAGGGAGCGAGGCCTGGGGACAGTATAGGCTGCTGCAGGGGCCAGTGGGGGGCTTCAGGACCAACCACGGTGGGCAGGTCCCGGTGCTCTCCAGGAACAAGGCCTAATTTACGTGCAGTGACACACAGATATGTCACGTGCAGTGACACTCAGACACGGGAAGCATGCACCCCAGTAAACCCACATGCAAACAAAGGTGCTGGACATCACCTTCAGCAGGACCAGGCTGACCAGGGTGTGGCGCTATGGCACCCAGCAAGGCAATGGGTGGGAGCGGGAGGATGGGGCTGCACTCCCATGGTCTGAGGGGTACACAGAATGAGAGATGCAGCCCCAAGCTCCACCTGGATGACACTGTGCTCTTGGAGCCAACCCCCAGGTTTGAGGGGGCTCTCAGGACCTTTTTCCTCTTCCAAGCCCCAGACAGGTCAATGGAAAGGATGGACCCTGCCCGGGCTGGTAGGCACCAGACCTACTCAGAGCTCTGTAAACCTGTGGAGGGAATGGTTGGTTCCCTTTCTTGGTTCTTTCGGCCTGGTGACAAGTTCCTCAAGCTTTTGTGGCTTAAAATGGCAGTCCAGGGGGTCAGGACCTGGGGGGGATCTCAGTGATTTGCACTGGCTAGAGGTGTGCAGGCGTGCAGCCAGATGGCAGCGGTGCCTGGGTTCACCCCCACCAGCTGTGCAGCGGGGAAAGCCATGTCTCCCCTGATATATGTGAGCTGGAACCTCGAAATGGGGCCATATGTGGAAATGGGTCTTGGCAGGTGTACCCAGGTAAGGACTGGGATGAGGTGACCCTAATGAGGGCAGTCTTGATCCCCATGACAGATGTCCTTGTAGGAGAGGGAGATTGGGGACAGACACAGGGACACAGCCATGTGACAGTGGAGGCAGAGGCTGGGATGACCATCTGGGCCAGAAGAGGCAGAGAGGACTCTCCTGGGGCCTAGAAAAGACACCTTGATCTCGGATGTCTGGCCTCTAGACCTGGGAGGAATTAACTAGTTTTAGGCCAGCACGTTTGCTTCAATTAGCTACAGCAGCCCCAGGACCTCACCCAGGCTTCTTTAATCAGCTGGCACCCAGGCTAAAGGGCTGGAGGCACCCTGGACCCCCTCTCTCCCTGGTGCCTGTCCAGGTGGTGTGTGCACACAGTGG